CATGTCTGGTCCGCATGCCGTCTGTCATCTCACAAACAATAATCTTGCACAACGCCCTGTCCCCAATGGACCAGCACCACCAATCTCGCCGACGACCAACTACTAAATCCCCTTGCCAGCCATCATCTATCCACTGCTGGACGAAGGCGTCATCCTCCCTCTCTGCCTCCCAGCGACGCGTGTTGCCCCAAGGCCCACTCAATGTCCTTAAACAGTCAACATTGCGTCTCGTCCTCTCAGCAGCGGCGGCTTCTGGCGAACCATCGTACACATACGGCCACCGCATCGCGCTTCTGCGGCCGTCTGGAACGCTCTTCCTTCCGATATTAGGAGGCCACTGCATGGGAGCTGTGCACTTTTAATTTCGTTAAAACTGATTTTTTTGCATTTCGTTGGTTGTCCTTCCCCCACACCTCCCATTAGCGCGGTTGGCTACGTACGGCGCGAAAGAAGTTCAACACAAACACTTCTCTAGAGCTGCGCGTGCTCTCGAATTCTGCGCGCTCTTCTTGCTGGGTTCTCAGTGCTGCTTACCACGCGTGCACCACTCTCCGCACTTCTTTGGGCTCACTCTCTTCGCCCTTTGCTGGCGCTTTGGGGGTGGCAGATTTGTGCCGGTGTAAAAGGCCGTAGTATACCCCCAGGCCGTAGTATACCCGGGGTTAAAACGGCCTAGGCTAGATTATACCCGGGTATATTATGCCCTAGGCCAGGGGTCGGCAACCAAAATAACAAGAAGAGCCATTTCTTTCCAATTCGGTACAAAATTCAGTATTTCAAGAGCTGCAATGCATCTGAGTACATACGTACTCATCGTCAAGAAGCAGCCCGTAAAGAGCCGCATGCGGCTCCGGAGCCGTAGGTTGCCGACTCCTGCCCTAGGCCAATTAATACTCTGGGGTATATTATGGCCTAGGCCAAATTATACCCCTCTAGGCCAAATCATACCCCATGATAGTAATAGTGTTGCGCGATATACACATGAATTACTACATTTTTCAAACATTTTATTTAAAACTGTAAACACATAGACTTTGATTGCTTCAACCAGAAAAACTTTAATAACAATAACCCTAACCCTAAAAATGCTTCAATTGATCAAATTGAGATTCTCACTTCCATTTATACGCTTTTTAGATATCGATTGAAGTTTGTTTGGACTTCCACATGGGGCATATTCTGGCCTGGAGGGGGGGTATGGTCTGGCCCAGTCTAGTTTAAACCCCCGGGGGGTATAGTTGAGCCTAGGACACTTTATCCCCCCGGGTATACGCTGGCCTGGGCCAAACTATACCCGGGTTTAATCGGGGCAGGAGTTATTTTAGCCTGTTACACCGGGAAAGACGCCACGTGTTCACCGAAAACGTACTTGACTCGACTTGTCAAATCTCACAGCAGATGCCATCAACACTCGACGAAAAATATCAGTTTTTTGTGGGGAGGCAACGCCCCCGCTCAAACTGGACACCTTTGTTAATTTAGTTTCAGTAGCGTTAATTTATTTTCAAAATGAAGATAATAAATAAATTAATTAACATCGAAGTCAAACTCCGCCTATGATGAATATGTAACACACACTGATTGAAAAAAACTTTGTTTTATTTTTATTTCTGAAAGAACCAAGAATAAGTCTACATTACAGACTGCAAGTGCACTCACTCCAATTAAGAACCAGTTTACAATAGTGTTTTTTGTTTTTGTTCTTATTTTTTATTTTATTATTTGTATTCACTTTATTTTTTATTATAATTTTTATTATATCTACGTGACTTTACCGAAAGAACCTAAGAATATAAAACTTTCTTCGTTCAACACTGGAGAGAAAAGGCCATTAAACTTCACAGCGGGTTGCAAATGATTAATAATGATGTAGTGACATCGGGGATGTCACTGTATAGTGCGGAAGGGTCGTGCCGTTCGATGTTTCTACATCGTGGACAGCGCCGTGTGGGTGGCTGTGTGTGACACAGCCCTAGTGGGGACAGCGCCGTGTGGGAGGCTGTGTGTAGCATCAGCCCTAGCGGGGACAGCACCGTGTGGGTGGCTGTGTGTAGCACCAGCCCTAGCGTGGACAGCACCGTGTGTGTGGCTGTGTGTAGCATCAGCCCTAGCGGGGCTTGGCGAGCACTGGGATAGTGCGGGCACCACGCACAGTGTGTGGTGGGGGCTCCCACGAGGAGGAGGGGGTGAGCGTTAGCCCAGGGGCAGGGTTGCCCCGGGCCGTGCCACTCTGGTTGACCCCGTAGACACGTGATCCGGAGAGTCCACACAGGGGGCCCCAGGTGGGGGGACTAGGAGGTGATCACGTGTCCGGAGAGAGCTCTTGAGAAGGATCAAGAGAGAACGAGAATGTTCGGGAAGGCGGGCGGGGCTAAGGGCGGAGCGGCCCCAACCGTAGGGGGATATAAGGCGGGTCCCTGAGAGGGATCTGGGTCGCTGTATTCTACAAGCTGGAAGCTCAACGTCTACAAGCTGGAAGCTCAACATCTACAAGCTGGAAGCTCAACATCTACAAGCTGGAAGCTCAACATCTACAAGCTGGAAGCTCAACATCTACAAGCTGGAAGCTCAACATCTACAAGCTGGAAGCTCAACGTCTACAAGCTGGAAGCTCAACATCTACAAGCTAGAAGCTCAACGTCTACAAGCTGGAAGCTCAACATCTACAAGCTGGAAGCTCAACATCTACAAGCTGGAAGCTCAACATCTACAAGCTGGAAGCTCAACATCTACAAGCTGGAAGCTCAACATCTACAAGCTGGAAACTCAACACCTACAAGCTGGAAGCTCAACGTCTACAAGCTGGAAGCTCAACATCTACAAGCTGGAAGCTCAACATCTACAAGCTGGAAACTCAACATCTACAAGCTGGAAGCTCAACACCTACAAGCTGGAAGCTCAACATCTACAAGCGGGAAGCTCAACACCTACAAGCTGGAAACTCAACATCTATAAGCTGGAAACTCAATATATACAAGCTGGAAGCTCAACATCTACAAGCTGGAAGCTCAACACCTACAAGCTGGAAGCTCAACATCTACAAGCGGGAAGCTCAACACCTACAAGCTGGAAGCTCAACATCTACAAGCGGGAAGCTCAACACCTACAAGCTGGAAACTCAACATCTATAAGCTGGAAACTCAATATATACAAGCTGGAAGCTCAACATCTACAAGCTGGAAGCTCAACATCTACAAGCTGGAAGCTCAACATCTACAAGCTGGAAGCTCAACACCTACAAGCTGGAAGCTCAACGTCTACAAGCTGGAAGCTCAACATCTACAAGCTGGAAGCTCAACATCTACAAGCTGGAAGCTCCACGTCTACAAGCTGGAAGCTCAACACCTATAAGCTGGAAGCTCAACATCTACAAGCTTGAAGCTCAACATCTACAAGCTGGAAGCTCAACACCTACAAGCTGGAAGCTCAACGTCTACAAGCTGGAAGCTCAACACCTACAAGCTGGAAGCTCAACATCTACAAGCTAAAGGCTCCACGTCTACAAGCTGGAAGCTCAACATCTACAAGCTGGAAGCTCAACACCTACAAGCTGGAAGCTCAACACCTACAAGCTGGAAGCTCAACATCTACAAGCGGTAAGCTCAACACCTACAAGCTGGAAGCTCCACACCTACAAGCTGGAAGCTCCACGTCTCAAGCTGGAAGCTGAACACCTACAAGCTGGAAGCTCAACATCTACAAGCTGGAAGCTCCACGTCTACAAGCTGGAAGCTCAACATCTACAAGCTGGAAGCTCAACGTCTACAAACTGGAAGCTCAACATCTCCAAGCTGGAAGCTCAACATCTACAAGCTGGAAGCTCAACGTCTACAAGCTGTAAGCTCAACATCTACAAGCGGGAAGCTCAACATCTACAAGCTGGAAGCTCAACATCTACAAGCTGGAAGCTCCACGTCTACAAGCTGGAAGCTCAACATCTACAAGCTGGAAGCTCAACACCTACAAGCTGGAAGCTCTACATCTACAAGCTGGAAGCTCAACATCTACAAGCTGGAAGCTCAACATCTACAAGCTGGAAGCTCAACACCTACAAGCTGGAAGCTCAACATCTACAAGCTGGAAGCTCAACATCTACAAGCTGGAAGCTCAACATCTACAAGCTGGAAGCTCAACATCTACAAGCTGGAAGCTCAACATCTACAAGATGGAAGCTCAACATCTACAAGCTGTAAGCTCAACATCTACAAGCTGGAAGCTCAACATCTACAAGCTGGAAGCTCAACATCTACAAGCTGGAAGCTCAACATCTACAAGCTGGAAGCTCAACACCTACAAGCTGGAAGCTCAACATCTACAAGCTGGAAGCTCAACATCTACAAGCTGGAAGCTCAACACCTACAAGCTGGAAGCTCAACATCTACAAGCGGGAAGCTCAACATCTACAAGCTGGAAGCTCAACATCAACACCTACAAGCTGGAAGCTCAACGTCTACAAGCTGGAAGCTCAACATCTACAAGCTGGAAGCTCAACATCTACAAGCTGGAAGCTCAACATCTACAAGCTGGAAGCTCAACACCTACAAGCTGGAAGCTCAACATCTACAAGCTGGAAGCTTAACATCTACAAGCTGGAAGCTCAACATCTACAAGCTGGAAGCTCCACGTCTACAAGCTGGAAGCTCAACATCTACAAGCGGGAAGCTCAACATCTACAAGCTGGAAGCTCAACATCTACAAGCTGGAAGCTCAACATCTACAAGCTGGAAGCTCAACACCTACAAGCGGGAAGCTCAACATCTACAAGGTGGAAGCTCGACGTCTCAAGCAGAAGCTCTCGGTCTTACGAGTCAAACGCGTGGTCGGAGACCCGAGTGAGGGATCGACCCTTCGTAGCAGTAACTCGCTGTCGTCTGGCAAAGGAGAAGTTGCCCCTTTGTGTTACGGTGTTACAAATAAAAGTGTTGCCTCTAAAAGAAACGTCTGTGACTCTGCTGGACCCACTACAATAAGAATACAAATTTATTTGTAAAAATAATATACGAAAAGACTTGTTCACCGTTCCAAATATTAAACTTTATTTCACACAAGTCAGTAAAGTTTATACCTAAATATCCAATTATTAAACAGCAATTAACAACATGCTTAAATATAAATATTAATAGTATTGACATGCCGAGGCATATTTAGGGATGGCATCGTAGTGTGTATTTTTATTCTTATGTAGACTCAAAGTGTTAAGGAAATAAAGTCAAATAAACATCTATTTTAATTCTAATCAGCTTTCATAGACAAGCTGTGTTGAATACCTTAGCTAAGTTCGTGCTATAGGGACAGCTTTTCGCCCCGTCTGAACTGATAAAGCCACCGCACTACTTGTTAGATGGTACACATGAAGACAATAATACCTCTTGGGGTTTTTTTGTTTGTTCAATGTCTAAGAACTGACAGGAAATATTAGACACAGCATTAAGTTACCGACATTTCACGATTGTTTCGCTGTGTGCTCAACAGTCAGCGTCCTTTCCTGTGCATTTGCGCCGATATGGTATCGTTACGGAAAAATAGCGTAGGCCGCAGAAAACCACAAGTTTAAACCGCATAGAAATGTGTCAAATGCACACAGCCATGTGTGTGCATGACGGGAAGGAAATTGCTGATGGGGTTTGTTGTTGTTGTTGCATGTGCACAATGGCTGTGTGCTGTTTACACATTTTTTGTGTGCCTTGCTTGAAACTGATGTCACACACTCTGAATGTTACCATTTAAAGTGACGCACGCTTTGCATTTAATTAGTGTTTGAAACATGACCAGACCGGGGGTCGACAAACCAAAATTATTAAGAAGAGACATTTTAGTTGTCGGATTCGGTAAACAAAAAAAACCCTAAATATTTTAAGAGCAGCAATGCACTGTGGTGATTGCGAGACGGCAGTTAATAAAATAACGTCTCGAAACGGCCCTGAAAGAGCCGCGTGCGGCTCCGGAACCCTGAACATGACGATCACAAGATGCGAGACAGCGCCAGTAGGAGGAGTGCACAAGCAATGGGTGTCGTGGCCGGCCATGGGCAGAGGTCGCAAACGGGTTTTGATTCCTTACCCGTACCCGGCCGCACCAGGGTCGCAAACGGGTACCCGTACCCGGCCGTACTCGTACCCTACCCGTACCCGACCGGTACGGGTAGGGTACGGGTATCGGGTACCTGATTGCGACCTCTGGGATGAAGCCATGTTGCAGGCGCGGGTGGGTTGATTCTAGGGACTTGAATTGTGAGAAGAGATAATCCGTTGGGAAATGAGTGACAAACAGTTACTCACCAGTGACTCACGGTCTACCCGTACCCGTACCCGGCCGCACCAGGGTCGCAAACAGGTACCCGTACCCGGCCGGGTACGGGTAGCCGGGTATCGGGTAGGGTACGGGTATCGGGTTCCCGGTTGCGACCTCTGGCCATGGGGCCGTGGTGGAATGAATTCAATGGGGGGGGGGGGGGGGGACGGAGAGGGTCCCCTTGTCAATTTCCCACTCTTTTCGTAGCCCGGTGCGTGGGGCAGTTGCACCGCCTGCACACCACGACAGTCACGCCACTGCGAGTCGTGTAGAGCGTGGAACAGAGCGCTGAATGGCGGACTCGTTAGCAACGGGCTCCTTGTGTGGTAGGGGAGATATCCAAAATTAACTTTCGGTGTTTTTCGATTTAAAGCTTTCGTGACTGCAGGGATTCATCTTCTTGGTTCTTTCGGTAAAGTCACGTAGAAGGGAAATAATAAAATAATAAAAATAAAACATAATAAAATAATTCTCACGACGTTTCGGCCACAACGCAAGCAGCCATCCTCAGGTGAAGAACAGGTCTGTCGGAAAGACAGCGTCTGAATGAAACACCACCAGGCTTGGCAGCGTATATTTAAGCTGAGTTGGAGGGGGAAGAGCGCCTTGACAAAATAATTTACATATCAAGAGGTGTTTGTATCGATGGGACTATTTAACCTCAAGCTTGGTTGAACCACAAGCATGTGTGGTTAATGCAAACTTGATGCCTTGCAAATAGGCTGTGTCTCTTTGGTGTTTGAACATTTCAACACCTCCCGTATTATTGCCAGAAAAGGGTTAAAGGCTATTCTTTTTTCATCGATAGGTGTTTGTGTATCAGGGTGATGGCATCAGGGAATTGGGATGGTTAACAAACCACAAAGTTTCATTATGAAATGGCATATCATTCTCTGGAGTTGTTAAACGAAATGCCGCACACATGATTGTACGACCGTCGAAAAAAAGTTTGTCATTTATATCAATGTTATTTTATAAACTAACGTAGGTACACAGTACTTGCCCGGGTCAAGGGTCGGGTTAGTCAATACTGTAGTAAAACCGAAAGTATCGTTTCAAAACGTCAACATCTCCACCGTATTATAAGTGACTATTTAAGTTTCAGTCTAGCTGTTGTAAACATGGACATATCAATTTTTTTTCTCAGCCTCATATCATTATCCTTGAGGTCGGTACCTCAACGCACAAAGGCAAAGATCCTTCCACGTGGCCTTTTTAGGCTGGGCAAGTGCTGTTCGAGAGCACGTATGAAAGCCGCCACGATGCCCAAGCCGCCTTTGTCTCTCCAGTGCCGATGTTTTACACCAGGTACCTACTTAAGGCTGAATCGACTGAGCGGTGGGGGTGGTGGGGGAGGCTCAACATCGGCTTCGATGTGAGCCTTCACTCGCCGGCGATTTTAGCCGTGGCCACCAAATGAACCTGGGGTCGTGCGCTTTCATTACGCCGCGCAGTGCCAACCACCGTGCCACCCCTCCCCATCGGCGTGGCCAAAGTCACACGCGCGCACCCACGCCCACGAGCGTCGGTGCAACGATGCCAGCGTCCGAGACAGCATCCAGCGTCACTTTGGCTTTAGGAGCGGGGGACAACGCAAAATTGAACACGCACAGCCCCGCTGTCATTACACTGCATCACGATGGTCCCCCCCTCCCGCGTCCCCCCGCCCACTCGCCGCCCCCCCCCCCAACCCCCGCCATGTCATGGGGGCTGTTTGACCACTTTTCGCCACGCTTGGTCAGTGCGGGTCGGTGAAGGTGAGCCCGGCGTAGAAGTACAGCAACGATGCGGATTTTGTTGCTCCACTAACCCTCCGCCGCCCACCACCAACGCATCGTCCTCGCAAAACCCATGGCATCCTGTTTGTGCACGGTGGTGGTCGCCCACCCGTGCACTGTGCGCCCCCCCACCCCACCAAAACACCCAAGCTCGATCTCGCGAGACCCGCGAGGTCGCGCGGTGCTGTCTCGTAGGCCGGCGTCACAGTGCTTCCGATGACACCCACCCGCCCGCGCGTCGATGACCACGCGCGGTACGGCACCGCCGGCGGCAGACGGGAGAGCTGTACGCTCGTGCCCGCTTAGGCCTCGTCAAAGTGCTCGCGCACATTGGTCGACGACGAAGCTTGCCGTCACCTACCTTTGCTATCGATGTTAACTACCTCGCCTGGCATACAGGAGGTCGTGGATTCGATCCCGACCCCTGATGCCTGCTGCTGTATATTTGGAGTTTGCGCACCTCTCTCTCTCTCCCCGTGGTCGCGTGGATTTTCCTCCGGGTCCTCCGGTTTTTCGCTCCACATTTAGCATCGACGTGCGTTCAAGAGTATTCGGTGAGCTGTCATTTGTGATGGCCAGGTCGCTTCTGAAAAATGAGCTAGAGAGCTCAGTTGGGCCTTGCCTGGTAAAATTACAAAAATATTCAATAGTTCACCTGCAGAAAGCAGTCTCTCCTCCTCCCCATGTTCTTCCTTTGCTTCCTCGATCACAACCAAGGGGACGGCGCCTATTGTAACGTGTGCGGCGCGGACGACCCCGCTCCCCTGCGCTACCCCGTCGCGGCGGCAACGGCAAACGAGAAGCGCTCGAGAGAAGGCGAGTTTCACAGCCGCACCTCGTTCCCGATCACCCGGTAGCGGATGAGGAAGTACGGGTAGCACTGGTCGCTGTCGAATATGGCGAAGATGCTCGGCTTGCCCGCGTTGTCCACGCACGAGTCGTACAGGTCGCTGGCCAGGTCGTCGGGACACAGCGCCGGCGGCCTGCGCAGGCCCGGCTGCCCGACGGCGTGCCGCCCGACCAGCGCCTTGGCGATGAAGACGTAGCGGTCCCCGGCGTGTCCCGCGCGCCCCGCGTAGCCGTGCGAGAAGCTGGCGGCCGTGGCGAAGTAGCTGCCGTTGCCGTAGACGGCGGCATTCTTGCCCGAGAGGCGCGGGTCGAAGTTGTGCTTGCAGATGGCGGGCACCGTGTCGGCCGTCGTGCCGTGGAACAGGTTCAGCTCGAGCTCGCGCTCGGGCATCTGCGGCAGCTTGCGCAGCATGAACGCCTTCTTCCTGCGGGGAGGCGCGGGGGGAGCGACACGGGATGAGGCGGCGCACGGCGGCGGGTTCAGACGGGCGGACGAGTTTCGCGGAGGTCACTGATCGAGCTTTGGTTTAATTCAGATTAGTGACGCTCGCAGGGCAGGTGCCAAGGGAGGTGCTCGGGCAGTGCTGCAGTGGTAGGCAAAGCATCACCGGCGTGGTGACAGAACACGGCGTCAATGACGACCCGGGTGCTGCTGCGGGGTCCACTTTCTGCCCCGCCTCCTCCCCCCCCCCGTCTCTCTCCCCCTCTACTGCCGAGGCCTACTATATAACCTCGTACCACGGCAGATCTCTCGCCTAATTCAGCAGTTTTTTTTGCTGTGGTTGTCCCACCTGATGACGATTGCTTGCGTTGCGATCGAAACGTCGTGATCTATTATTTTCCTACCCACGTGACTTTACCAAAAGAACCAAAGGGTATGGATTCCTGCAGTCACGAAAACTTCAAATCAAGAATGACGAACGTGTTGACGAGAAACAATTCCACGTTCCCAATGCGCCGCTGCTGTCGACGCGAGCGTCAACCCGGACGAACCCGAGCCGCCGCGCGTGTCTGCGGTGCCGCGCGTGTCACCTGCAATACTTCTCCCACAGGAAGGGGTTCTGCACGCGCTCGATGCTCAGCACGAGCGCCTTGGTCTCCGACACGGTCTGGTGGAAGAGGCGGTACGCGGCCCGGTACGCCCGCTCGGCCGGCTCCAGGGTCACGCGCACGAAGTCCGCGCCGGGATCCATGGGCACCCAGGTCGAGGGCTGCGAGCATCCGGCAGCGTCCGGCCAGCCGGGATACGGCGGTGCGGCGCCAGCGGAGGGGCTGAGGAGGCGACAACGCGTGGGATAACACCGCTCGTCGTTAGCGGGAGGGTCTCTTCGTTATTTAAAACATAAAACTATTTTGTATTAAATAACTTTTTTTTGGTTCTAGATTTGCAGCTTTCGTGACTGCAAGGATTCACACTCTTAGGTTTTTTCGGTAAAGTCACGTAGGTAAAAATAAATAATGAAAGTAAAAATAATAGAGGTAAAATTATAAATCACGACGTTTCGGAGGCAACACAAGTCTCCGTCATCAGGTGGGACCGTCACAGCCTAAATTTACTGTATCAAGTGAGGCAAAATTCCAAGAGACAAGCTCTTAAATACAAGTTAAGGGGGGAGGAGGGGGAGGGTTCTTTCGATAAAGTCACGTAGGTAGAAAAATAATAGATCACGACGTTTCGATCGCAACACAAGCAATCGTCCGCCTGATGAAGATTGCTTCGTCCGCCTGATGACGATTGCTTGCGTTGCGATCGAAATGTCGTGATCTATTATTTTTTCTACCTACGTGACTTTACGGAAAGACATTGGGACGCTGTCTTTCCAACAGCTCTGTTTCTTCACCTGAGGACGGCTGCTTGTGTTGTGGCCGAAACGTCGAGAGAATTTTTTATTTTATTATGTTATATTATTATTATTTTATTATTTCCCTTCTACGTGACTTTACCGAAAGAACCAAGAAGACAAAGAGTAACTGTTCAACTATTTACTAGGTAAGGCCCACTGAGCTATATATATATCTATAGGAATTTTTTCAGAAGCGACCTGGACATCACAAATGATGGCTTGACTAAGTGGCTCATCGTGGCGTGGAAATTTACAGCAGCCAGATACTCTGGACGCGTGATGTTGATTCTAAATGTGGAGGGGGGAAACCGGAGGGCCCTGGAGAAAAATCCACGAGACCACGGGGGAGAGAGAAATGAAAGCTCCAAATATACAGCAGGCGTCAGGGTCGGGATCGAACCTACGACCTCCTGTAGACCAGGCGAGGTCGTTAGCATTTCTCCACCGTATCGTTTGATTGCGGCGATATGGCCGCTTAGACAATAACAACAATAATCGTAAGAACGGAGACAATTCAGTGCGTTTGGTATTGGCGCGAACAATTCTCACAGCCCAAGCAAGCCTGTCGGCACGACGGAAGAAGGCGAGTGCTGCTGTTGCTGCTGCTGCTACCGATATTTCTCCGGACACAGCGCGTGGATCGTTCCACATCACAGTAGTGGCGGGAGGGGGCGACCTTGCTCCGCGTAATCCCAGATTGGAGTCGTTCGCGGCGGTGTAAAATTTGGACATTCGAGAAGTTTTGCGGAGGTTACCGATCGAGCTTTGATTGAATTCAGATTGGTGACGCTCGCAGGGCAGGCGCCAGGGCAGTGCTGCCGTGGTGGGCCCTGCATCACCATAGCGGCGAGATGTTAACTACCTCGCCTGATATACAGGAGGACGTGGACATTTGAGAATTTCGCGGAGGTTACCGATCGAGCTTTGGTTTGGAGCGTGACGTCGCAACGGGCTGCTCGTTTTATAATTTGAACGACATCAGGGCGGGGTATTTAATGCCCACTGTAAAGAAAGGCGGCATGTACAGCTGGGCCCCAAAGTGAGAGGGCCAGGAGGTATGCGGTCAACAATGCTTGACTCAGGGAGGAGGACGCCCCTGCCATGCATAGTCCCATGGGATGTTGGCTATCAACAAGGCAAGTCCTATGACTAATAGGATTGATCACCCTGTCGCTGGCCGCCTTTGGGCAGGGTGTATAGTGTGAAAGGCCGAAACACCCTAGGAACCAAAGGTACACTACTGACGATGCGCTCCCCAAATTTCACCAGGCTCACTGTTCATGAACTCTTGGAAGTGCTTGCACAAAGGATAGTAACAACTCATCCTGTGTTCTTGGAATCTAACGGTCATCGCTCCCGTAGTGATAACCAGCGCGGCCTGCCAGAGTTGAACCGGGATACATTGGAGATACAATCGAGATACAATCGAGATACAATCGAGATACAGTGTAGATACTATGGAGATACCATAAGAAATACAATATGCAGTTGAGATACAATAGAGATACAATAGCGTTAGTGTAGGTACAATGAAGATACAATATAAATGCAATGGAGATACAGTGTAGATACAATGGAGTTACAATATAAATACAATGGAGATACAACTGAATGCTTCTTGTCTAAAGAACATTGTTCCACCTACGATGTCTGCGCTGGCGACTTCCCCTGCTCTAACCCACTCTGAGACTTTACTCCCAGGCACATCGCTCGCATCGGAATGCAGAGAGTTTGTTGCGTTCGCGATGATGTCTCAAGCCCATAATCAACGTTTTTGGGTTTAGATCGCGTTATTTATAAATGTGTCGTAACCCTCCACCACCCGACACGGCCAATCTGTAAAAAAGTGTCACGTTGACAAAAGACAAATTAGTTCACTGCTTTAGCCCACCGGTGTGTTGAAGCGCGAAACCACAACATTTACAATTTGAGTACGACGTTTCGCTGGTAATTGCATCCATTTATAAATAACGCGATCTAAACCCAAAAACGTTGATTATGAATAATATTGGTCGCGAAAGCCTGCCACGTGTTAAACTGATGTCTCAAGCGTCTAAACGAGACAGCGCGGCAGGACACTGTACAAATAGGGGAAATGAGGCCTCGAACGACAGTTTGAATAACAGGGGGTCAATAAATTTTTTCACGTGTTTATACCATCTCATTTGGTATGTTTTATTAGTATATCGGTACAGTTTACGTTCGCTCCGTCAGCCTGGATCATTGTGTTCGCTCCATTGGCCTGAATCGGCAAATTTATTTATCGTGGAGAAATCCGATGAGCCGTGAAGCTCTTCATCACAAACTCTTGGCGTACAATGGCGCGTTAAGACTTGTCAATGCGTCCAGCGCGCGTGATGTCCATCGCACGGAATACCAACGAGTGTGAGAAAAAATAATTTCGGTCGACGGCTCCGATGCGTACGTTACAACGATCCCTTTGAAGCAGCGGTCCTTTTGAACCGTGGGTGCATCACGCACTCCCTGCCCCGAGCCGAGACTACCCCAACCTCGGCCGGTCGGGCGGAGTAGCCTCCCCTAGCCTCCCGGGTCCCCCTTTAAATACCCCCGGGGGCATGACGTCACCGTCCCCCAAGGGCCGCCTGACGTCACGTTCTGTGACGCCCACCACGTGACGTCACTCGCTACTGCCCTACACAAGTATAACTACTTTAAATTTCGATTTAAAGCTTTCGTGACTGCAGGGATTCATCTTCTTGGTTCTTTCGGTAAAGTTACGTAGGAGGGAAGTAATAAAATAATAAAAATAAAAACATGATTTTTATTATTGTATTACTTCCCTTCTACGTGACTTTACCGAAAGAACCAAGAAGATATAACTACTTTGTTTCATCAAACTCTGTGTATGTATTAACGTTATAAACTAACAAAAATACGATTGAGAACCAATGGAGTGCAAGGCTACAGCGAAGGTAAACAAACCGAGGCTTTAGAAGTTGCACACAAGGCTTGCTGCTGCTGCTGCAACGGCTGTCACGTGGCTGTCACGTGGCAGGCGTGGCATGCGTGCCAGCAGTCGGCAGCAGAACTTGCCAAGTCAGGCGGGCTGACTTTCGGAAAGCTCAGAGGGATTTCGGTTCATGACCCCAGCTTATCTCACACCCCCCCCCCCCCGACAACAACATCACCAGCAGCAGAAGCACCATACGTAGGGCTGAACGATTTGGGGGGAAATATCTAATTGCGATTTTTCTGACAGATATCGCGATTTGATTTGCGATTACATTTTTTTAAGTCAAGCTTCAGTTCAATATTTATTGTGTAATAGATTTAAAACATGCGATGGAGCATTAGCACATGACACCATCAAATATGAACTGCTCTATATATTGTAATGCAAGGATGAGAACTTAAAAGATATTAATTGCTTCCAACAAGTATTTATGAAAATGTTTAATTGAAATAGAACACTCAAACATGGAACAATTGTTAAGTTAAATAAGTAAAGTTCTAATAATAAATAATAAAACAATTCCAATAAGAAAGTAGTAGGACTTTTCGAGTCGCAAAAAAATTGCAGCCTTTGCGATTTGCTAATCACATTGTTTCAATTGCGATTTCGATTTGAAATCGATTGAACGTTCAGCCCTACACCATAACACCTCCCTGCCCTGCGGCTAGCGGACAGCACCCAGCCCTTTGCGTCCCCTGCGATGCCCCTGCCAATCATCAGCAGCCATGGTCAATCCACTGCTGGATGAAGGCTTCCCCAAGCTGCTGCCAACTCACGATACCGCAACGAAATAATCCAATCCACTGCGCGCCTGCGTACGAGCTGATTTCACCGCTCCGTCTCCTGGGTGGACGTCATCTTGGACACGTTCCGATCATAGGTTGCCACTCGCGTTACTTTTCTTGAGCATCGGACACCATCGCCCCTAACGACGTGCACTCTTTGTATTTTTTCGGATCGGCATTTTCCGTCGATATTTTTTCCAGACATCGCCAGTCGAACGGACACTTGCGGACAAGCAGGGGCTTGGGATAAAGGGGAGATGTTAACTAGCTGTGCAGGAGATCCTCAGGGTTGCTATCGAACCCAGATCCTTGGTTCGATCCCGACCCTGACGCCTGTACATTTTAAGTTTGCATGTTCAGGTCCTCCAGTTGTTTTTCCCTCCACACTTGGAAACATGTGTTTAGAGTATTTGGCTGCTATAAATTTCCACGTCAAATGGCCTATCGTTTGTGGCCAGGTCGCTTCTGAAAAAGAGCGATACAGCTCAGCGGTGCCTTACCTGGTAAAATAATAATAATTATTTAAAAACATGTGTGCGAACTTACGCGTCGCAATGCTGCGTCACCGCCAGGGACGACACGAACTCCGGGCGCATCCTCATCAGGGGCCACTGGCCCAGGTTGAAGATTCCAGCTGCCACGGAACTGGTGACGATGCTGGTAGACGTCTACAAAAAGAAACAAAGAAACAATGCACCACCACCCCAAAGGAAAAGCCACGGTGTCAGAAAAGAAACTTTGCTTTTTTTCTCTCCGTCTACTTCAACAAAAGAGAAGCGATTTGCAGATATCTCTCTTTCAGGCAGCTGCAGAAGCAGAAGTGAAATCGTTTGTCGGAGGGTAAAAACGAAACGATACAACTACCTGCGTACGAACGGAACATATTTAATTTCTGTTGTTACCCACGCGCACGCACGTGCACGCTTGTCCATTCGTACCGCGATCACAGGATATGGATGGAACGGTGGCGCAGTGGTTATCACGTTGAATCCCCTCGTTAACCGCTCCCACCTCTGCCCTCCTAACCGCCACCACAACTACATCACCACTTTTAATAACCCCACTCTGTACTTCAACCACTATCATCTTAAGCAGAATTTTATGATTATTGTAAAGCACCTTCGGCGCTATGTAAATCTATATAAGATAAGATCCCGTCAGTTCGATACCCGGCCGCGGCTAACCTCTATGGGCCAGTGAAACGTGAAACGTCCAGCCATTTCAATAACCCCGCACAGGCCAGCGCGGTGAAGTAAGGTCAAACATCCCCCGTGGCCAGCACAGTGCGGGTAGACCTTCATCCACGAGTGAATTGACAAAGTGCTGTAAATGTTAACGTGTATTTATACTGTTAATGGACCGTAGTGATGGGTTTTTTCGGTCTGTATTTGCCGTGGCAAAGTGAGTGAAATTGACACGGGCCCTGATTTCAGGGAATTAAATAAACGAAACTAAACATATTTTTTTTTATTTTACCAGGCAAGGCCCACTGAGCTATATCGTTCTTTTTTTCAGAAACGACCTGGCATCAAATGATAACTCAACGAACTGGTTTATCACGTGGACATTTATAGCAGTCAAATACTATAAACGCACGTTCATTCTAAATGTGCAGGAGAAAAATCCACGCGACCACAGGGAGAGAGACACGCAAACTTCGAATATACAGCAGGCGTCGGCGTCGGGATCGAACCCACGACCTCCCGTATACCAGGCGAGGTAGTGAACATCTCGCTACCCTGGCGCCTCGCTTGTCCAATTTCATCCCCTTGCCTCCACAGCCCTGCGGCATCAGCCCCTCCGGCCTGTGGGCCCCAACGCCGCTGCACGGCCTGCGCACCCGACAGCTAAGCCTCTGCCCACGTGCTTCATGGAGGGTGCTTCAAAAACGTGTCGACACTTACATTTCGATTTAAAGCTTTCGTGACTGCAGGGATTCATCTTCTTGGTTCTTTCGGTAAAGTCACGTAGAAGGGAAATAATATAATAATAAAAATAAAACATAATAAAATTATAATATAATAATAATTTTATTATGTTTTATTTTTATCATTTTTATCATAATAAAATTATAATATAATAATTATTTTATTATGTTTTATTTTTATCATTTTATTATTTCCCTTCTACGTGACCTTACCGAAAGAACCAAGAAGATGTCTACACTTCTATGGGACTAGTTTTTAAATGAAAAAAGAACTAATACAATGCAACATGATAACAAATGCATGTTGATAGCTTTAAAGAGTCAAAGAGTCTCCCACTTGTTCGCAAATTCTCGGAAGTGTGAACATTTTTTGAAGCACCTCGTATTTCCAGGGCTGCACACATTTGGCGGCTTATCTCCTGGTCTTGCTGCTGCTGCTGCTCTTATTGTTGTGGCTGAGTGGTAGCGTAGCGGTTAGTGCCTCGTGCCACGAACCCGGCGACCCGAGTTCGATTCCCGCTCACGGCCAGCGCCGGTGACGATTATCTGAACCGGTCATTGACCTCCCCTAGGTCGACTCAGCCTCCAAAAGAGTACCTGGTACGTTATGCAAAACTTTGCCGATGGGGAGACTAAGATGGCCAGGCATGGTGCTGTCCACACACCCTCTCATGTGCCGTGCCATGCCGGCCTTCATAGGTGCTCGATAACAGCACTTGTCCCTAGAGTTTGTCAAGGCTACACGGGGGGTCTTTGTCTTTGCTGTTGGGTGTTGCTGCTGCTGCCGGTACTGTAGCGTTGCCAGGTGTGGTGCTTGGGTGCCTCACCTCGTCGAGCCGGAGCCAGCGGTTCTGGTCCCTGCGGTAGAAACGGCAGGGGTAGGGCCTGAAACGCGAGCTCTCAAGGCGCCGGGCGAGCAATTTGTCTCCAGAAGGATTCCTCGCCTCCATGGTGGCGAAGTCCAGAGGCAGAATCCCATTCCTGGAGCCAGCCACGCACACAGATTCCAACATTTAGATTTTCATGTTTATTTACTTCCTACCGACCAGCAACTTTTGCAGCCCCTTCGGGAACATCGACCGCATCGGAACGTCAGCAGCAGGCCGATGCGCGTAAGAAGTTCAACACTGGGATTTGTGCGCACAGCGTTGGTGTACGGTGTTTTTTCTGCAATATTTTGCTGTCTTTAATTGGATTTTCTGTTTGCACTCAGTCACGTATTCACTTTAGGATGTTTTTTTGTTCATGTTTTTGTTTTTTGTTTGTTGCGGTTGCACCCGATTCAAGAGCCGAATGGCTCACAGGGCTATACCTAATAAATGAACTTGAACTTGAACATACATACATGAATGGAAAATTAAGGACAAGTCACAGTGGTGAGATTGTGGCCATGTAACAAAAACTCTGGGCCATCGAGTAAACCCACTGTGTTCTGCGCTCCTTCAGCAGAGGAGGAACAGCAAAGCTACACGAACTCTCTCTCCTCAAGCCCTCTCGTCATATGCTAGCAGAACCCGACATTGTCATTTATCTCATGATAATTGTATTTATCTGGCGCACTAACTGCGTGAAAGTCACGTGCAAAAGCATTTGCTAAATTTAAAAAAAATGTCCTGAATATATTATCGCTCATAATATCGGTGTTTTTGGGTTAGATCGCGTAAATATAAATGCGTCGTTAAACCCGTCACCACTCGACACAGCCAATTAGTAAGGTTTTGGCATAACCGAAACATAACATTTCAAAATAGAATGTTTAAAAAAAACATTTTTATGATAGAATATAGTATTGTCATCAGTATGATATAAGTATACCAAGTTTGCAGTCGATACCACATTGGGAAGTGTGTTAAAATTGAGTTACAAGATTTGAGGATACAACAACAACAGACAGAGTGAGTTAAATGAAAGCGTGTAAAGATGTGAACACGTGCGATGCGACGCGCGTTAAACATCTGAGCACATTTGTGTCCCCGGTAAGAGGCCTCACCGAGTCTCGTGGCTCTCTCTAGGAGGGTTCCTGCCAAGGCATTTCGTTTTGTGGGAGGGGGCAACGATTCTTATGCTTTTCCCAATAAATACAATTGAGAGTACAGTAACTTTCTATTTCAAATTCAACAAATTCGGATACATTTAAATGTATAATTTTTTTTCTCTTCTTGGTTCTTTCGGTAAAGTCACGTAGAAGGGAAATAATAAAATAATAAAAATAAAACAATAAAATAATTATCACGACGTTTCGGCCACAACGCAAGCAGCCGTCCTCAGGTGAAGAACAGGTCTGTCGGAAAGACAGCGTCTGAATGACACTGTCTTGTGGCCGATACGTCGTGAGAATTATTTAGTTTTATTTTATTATTTTATTATTTCCCTTCTACGTGACTTTACCGAAAGAACCAAGAAGATGAATCCCTGCAGTCGCGAAAGCTTTAAATCAAAATGTATATTTTTTATTCAACGTCAAATTATATAGTTAGGCTTGGTAACGTTAATAATTTACAGCTCTTTGTCAACCTACTGCTGGATGAGGGCATCTTCAACCCCGTTTGACCATACTTCACCACGCTGGTAAGTGCGGGTTGGCGATGGGGGGGAGGGAGATGTGGGATCAGGATTGGTTCACATCTCACTCGCCCCTGATGTTGGCCGTGGCCGTGAGTCAAACTCAGGTGGCCAGGTTCACAGCAAAAACGACCGCGCCACCACTCCACCCAACATGCAACACTAACTTAGCGAACGCTTTGGGCAAACACGCGTTATCGTATATTAAGGACTGTTTGCCTTAAAACACGAGTTGAGAAATTCTGTAAACATCTTGAGACTCGGTGACACTGAACTGGATACATTTTTGACAGCAGCAGCACAATATCGTGTGCATAATATGTGTGAGAATGGCAATGTCACCCTGTCTTACAATGCTTGCTAACTTTCCCGTTCAATTTTAATGATTACAAAGGGCATTATTGCTAATATAGTTTTTTGGGGTGAGATCGCGTAAACATAACTGCGTCGTTAAACCCGCCACCACCCGACACAGCCAATTAGTAATGTGTGTGACGTAAACAGAACGTGCGAATTCGTTACTAGTGTAATAAAACACTTCGACGACGAACGTTGACTCGTGTCTTTCTTTCTTTATATCTGTGTCGGCTGAACAACAGCTCCACGCTCCTTCTCGTATATAAACCGTTCCGTTCTTGTTGGTTCTTTCGGTAAAGTCACGTGGAAGGGAAGTAATAAAATAATAAAAATAAAACATAATAAAATAATTATGTCTGTCTCCCCGACAGACCTGGTCTTCACCTGAGGACGGCCGCTTTCGTTGTGGCCGAAACGTCGTGAGAATGATTTTATTATGTTTAATTTTAATTATTTTATTACTTCCCTTCTACGTGACTTTACCGAAAGAACCAAGAAGATGAATCCCTGCAGTCACGAAAGCTTTACATCGAAATTCGTTCCGTTCTTCAAGCAGTCAACCCTCGGACCGCCACGTGGCCGCTGGCGTTCTGAAGGCGCGAGACGTGACCCCGCTTACAGACTTCCACACTGACCTTGAGCCTCTTTCTGCTTCCCCTTATAACCCCTCCACGTGGAGTCAAGCCCCGCCTCCAGACACGCCCCGCCTCTAGACACGCCCCCTTCAGAACCTTCCCGACGGTTCCCCGCGAGCACCCTTAAGCTCCGCCCCTGAACTTTGGCCCAGATGATCCCACTTCAAAGTTCAAAGTTCATTTATTTGGTGTAGCCCTGTGAGCCATTCGGCTCTTGAATCGGGTGCAACCGCAACAAACAACAAACAAAAACATGAACAAGAAAACATCTTAAAGTGACTATATGCAAACAGAAAATCCAAGAAAAGACAGCAAAATATTGCAAAAAAAGCACCGTACACCAACCCTGTGCAAATATCCCAGTGGGATGCAAGTCAAACAACAACAACCACAAGACAACTTAGATTAAGGCCATCAGTCTAACTCTGTACTACAACAAACAAACATGGCCAAACCAAAAAAACTTTTCGAAAATCACCAAAATAAAGCCATAAAAGCAATGAAACAGTGGTCATAGGAACTGTGACCGAATTTTCACAATAAACGACGTCAACAACACGTACTACCAAACACTTGACTTGACTGGCTTATGGCTGATACAGCGGAGCCTATCCATCCGGGCGGCGACCGTCGGTGTACTCTCTTAATACACTAGTACAGCACTAACCGGTGTGTTGGAGAGTACATCCACAACATTTACAATCGGAGGACGACAGTTCGCCGGTACTTACAACTGGTCCAACACCAATGGGGACTAGGCTCTAAAGAAAGCCGTCTCGGGTGTGGACCAATCAACTTCAAGGACAGTGCATATCATTATCATTATCAGAGTTGCTTCTTTTTGTTTGCTTTTTTGACTACTTCTGTTGTGGTTATTGCAAACATGATGCCTTGAATAAAGGCGTCAGTTTTGTACCAGTTTAAAAGGGTAAAAACCTACTACTACTTACAACTAGCTTCATCAGGCGACAGCCAGATCTTACTCATTGGCTGTGTCGGGTGGTGGCGGGTTTAACGACACATTTACATATTGACGCGATTAACCCCCCCCCCCCCCCAAAACCTCCTGTATTATGAATGATATTGGTCGCGAAAGCCTACGTGTTGAACTGGCAATATTGCTTTCAAATATATAAATAGATACGTCCAGTCGGTTTGTCCCCCAAACGCCACTAATATCTATGCCACTGTCCTGAGATGAAGAATCTATTTGGAAATCTCGCAGAGCATTGCGACACGCCCGCGATAAAAAAAAACGATCCGCGGACGCAGATATCACAGAATTACTTCCGATGTCCCTTCCGAGTAATCTCTTACGGCTATTTATACTTTAAGACAATGCCCTATTATTAGTATCATCAATGGGTGTTATTCTCATCGATAAACTTACAACAACACACGCGCTCTTGTCGATGAGATCAGAACGGCCCTAGAGACTCAGAGAGTCTATTTGCAGGGAGTCGGCAAACAAGACAACAAGAAGAGCAAATCTTGACTTAAAGCTTTCGTGACTGCAGGAATTCATATTGTTTGGGTCTTTCGGTAAAGTCACGACGTAGATAGGTTCAAATTAATACAAATAAAATAGACAAAAACCACGACGCTTCGATCGCATCACAAGCGATCTGATGGCGATCGCTTGTGTTGTGATCGAAACGTCGTGGTTTTTGTTTATTTTTTTATTAATTTGAACCTACGTCGTTACTTTCCCGAACGACCCAAACAACAAGGAGAAGAGCAATTTCTTTGCGAATTCAGTCGTAAAAAAAACCAACTCAACAATATTTCAAGAGTAGCGATGCGCGCAAACGCGAGACGTTGAAATCCTTAATCGCAAAACACGAGACCGCGCTCCTTAATAAAGTCACGAAACAGTGCCATCCCCACGTTGCCCTGCTCGAGACGCTGCATAGATAGCGCATTGGGTCTCCCCTTCCCCTCCCTCCCCTCCCTCTCTCCGTGCCGCCGCCGCCTCTGTAGGCTGGCGTCTCACGCCGCGCGCGAGACACTCACTCGGTGCGCAGCTGCGCTGAGTCGTTTTCGGGGTTGCAGAAAACTCGCTCGAGGAGCTCCTGCGCGCGAGCCGGGATGCTCTCCCAAGCCGCGCCCGGCCTCCGCATCTGCCAGTGGTAGGGCAGCGCTCCGATCTCCGCAAGACCCGACCACAAGTCCTCGACTGCGCCCGAGCCGGCGCGTCCTGCGTCTGCGCTGCCACCTTCGTCATCGTCACCGCCGCCGTTAGCTCCGGCAAAAGGGCTGGCACCTGCATCACCACCATCATCATCACCAGCAGCAGCAGCAGCAAGAGCAGCAGCGGCAGCCTCCAGCCCGTGCGCGTCGTGTGCGTGGGGTGGTGCCTTGCGACTCGTGTGGGTCATCTCGAAGCTGGGCGGATCACGGAGAGAATTCTCGGAAACGCTTTCTGAGAACCGCGCCAGGGCCGCCAATCTGAGCAGCCCCTGGGCGGCTCGCCTCGCGTTCGCCCTCGGGTGCGACGACCTCGCCGTCGGCACGGGGGGCGGCGGTGCCGCGGTTGGTGCTGCCGCGAAACGTCGGGCACGCGCGCTCGGTCTCTTCCTCGCTGCGAGCTCCGCGCTGCGGGCTCGGAGCGCGAGGCGGCGCGCGGATGGAGTCGGCGTTGCTGTGTCCGCGCCGAGGTTCTGAGCTCGCATTATCTGTGCACGGCTCAAGCCGACCCGATGTTGGAATTCCTCGACAAAACGCCTGTGGCTCCCGGTACCTTTCACGCCGATGAGTCGGGTGTCACTCAGCTGTCACCGCGAGTTAATCGATGTGTCTTTTAATGACGGTGCGTGGTGGACTAAAATGATTAAGTTATACGCTTTAAATGTATCTTGAGGCTTCGAGCAGTAAGGTGTATTGTCCGTTATTCACACACACGAGTGTGTGAACAAATACACACGGTGAGCTTGTGCTATGTTACCGAGTTGAAATGTAAACCCTCGGCGTGTTTAACCACCTCGCAGAACGCGTGAGGTCGGCGCTGAGTCGCGTTCAGGTTGCTCTGTGGCGTGCCTCGGAGGGGCCTGCCGCATTTTAAAGTCGACGGGAGCAGGTGGAGGGGACGATTGCTGCCACAACGACAAACGCATCATCATCATCATCATCAAAAGCGGCAAGTGGACTTCATCACGCGGGCGTGGTGATGCGAAACTCGTGGCGTGTGACAGTCTCCGTGGAGGTGGCGGGGTGGGTTGGTGGGCGGGTCGGGGTTTGCGGGCGCAAAGAGCCATTGGCTGCATCGCCGCGGTTATTCATCGCGGGGCAGAGCGGAGCGAGCGAAGGCACCACCCACCCCCCGCCACACGAGACGAAGCCGCTGAGCATTCAGTCCACCCCAGCAGTGGCGCCGTGCTGCGACACCGCGCTCCAGAGGTGGGACAAAGTCATTGTTATGCAAGTCCAAGTCGAGTCTGAAGTCATCAAATTCATGACTCGAGTCTGACTCGAGTCCAAGTCACATGACTCGAGTCCACATCTCAGAGGTGGGACAAAGTCATTGTTATGCAAGTCCAAGTCGAGTCTGAAGTCATCAAATTCATGACTCGAGTCTGACTCGAGTCCAAGTCACATGACTCGAGTCCACACCTCAGAGGTGGGACAAAGTCATTGTTATGCAAGTCCAAGTCGAGTCTGAAGTCATCAAATTCATGACTCGAGTCTGACTCGAGTCCAAGTCACATGACTCGAGTCCACATCTCAGAGGTGGGACAAAGTCATTGTTATGCAAGTCCAAGTCGAGTCTGAAGTCATCAAATTCATGACTCGAGTCTGACTCGAGTCCAAGTCACATGACTCGAGTCCACACCTCTGCCGCGCTCACACGGCCAACGGAGCGATCATCGCCGTTCGACGCCGTCGATGACAATGATGACCGCACGATTTTCGTGCTGGGGTTTTCGTTTTCGTTTCGTTTGTTGGCCGCGGCGGGTTGTTTAACCACGGGGTTGTTTGGCCAGAGTTTTTTTTTTACTCTGCTGCAGGTCAATACGCAGTGCTTCAAAAAAAATACGTGAACACTTCAGATAATACTCGTAGTTCTTTCGGTAAAGTCACGTAGGTAAAAAAATGAAATTAAAATTAATAAAATAAAACAATAAAATCACGACGTTTCGGAGGCAACACAAGTCTCCGTCATCAGGTGGGACAGTCACAGCCAGATTTGCTGGGACCGTCACAGCCAGATTTGCTGCATCAAGTGATGCAGCAAATCTGGCTGTGACGGTCCCACCTGATGACGGAGACTTGTGTTACCTCCGAAACGTCGTAATTTCATTTTTTTACCTACGTGACTTTACCGAAAAAACTAAGAGTATGAATCCTTGCAGTCACGAAAGCTTCAAATCTAGAACTTCAGATAATCGTCACCGGTGTTGGCCCTGAGCGGGCAATCGAACTCGGGTCACCGGGTTCGTAGCACGGGGCACTAACCGCTACGCTACCGCTCAGCAGCAACGAGAGCAGCAGCAGCAGCAAGCCTCAAGGCCAGGAGATAAGCCGCCCAATGTGTGCAGCCCTGGGAATACGGGGTGCTTCAAAAAGATGTGAACACTTCTGAGAACTTGCAACAACGCAACGAGGAGTGTCCATCCGGGCTTTGAGGACCACCGGGAGAAGATTCGAGGCGCGCGTTGACAACGATGGCGAACAAGTTGGAGACTCTTTGACTTCTTGAAGCTATTAACATAATTCTAGATTTGAAGCTTTCGTGACTGCAATGATTCATACTCTTAGGTTTTTTCGGTAAAGTCACGTAGGTAAAAAATATAAATAAGTAATACAAATAATAGAAATAATAGAAGTAAAATAATAAATCACGACGTTTCGGAGGCAACACAAGTCTCCGTCATCAGGTGGAACCGTCACAGCTAAATTTACTGTATTAAGTGAGGAAAAATCCAAGAGACAAGCCCTTAACATACATTTTTTAAATAATGCTACAGTGTATTTATCCGTTCTTTTGTCCATTAAAAACAATAGTCCCGTATGAGTGTTAACATTTTTGTTAAGCACCCTATACTTCGATTGTAAATGTTGTGGCTTGGCTCTCCAACACACAACCGGTGTGCTGTACTAGTAACGAATTGGCACGTTCTGTTTACGTGACAACCCTTACTAATTGGCTGTGTCGGGTGGTGGCGGGTATAACGACACATTTATATATTTACGCGATCTAACCCAACAAAAACCCTATATTATGGATGATATCGGTCGCGACAGCCTGCTACGTGTTCGACTGGTCAATGCCGGTTGGTGATGGGGTGGGGGCGGAGAGGTTAAGATCTATTAACGATCTTCAGATGTAAAACTAAAACATTGTTTATCCTTACCAGGTAAGGCCTACTGAGATATGTAGCTCTTTTCCAGAAGCGACCCGGCCACAAATGATGGCTCAACTTAGTGGCTTATCATGTGGAAATGTATAGCAGCCAAATAATCTAAAGCGCACGTTGATTCTAAATGTGGAGGGGAAAACCGGAAAAAAATATTTTACGCGATCACGGGGAGAGAGACACGCAAACTACAAACATACAGGCAATTGGGGGTCGGAATGGAACCCACGACCTCCTGTACACCAGGCGAGGTAGTTAACATCTCCTAGCCACCGTGATGATGATGAGAGAGAGAGACACCACAAACTCCCAAATCAACAGCAGCAGGCGTCGGGCTCGAACCCACGACCTCATGTGCACCAGGCGAGGTAGTTAACATCTCCTAGCCACCGTGATGATGATGAGAGAGAGAGAGAGGCAGCGCAAACTCCCAAATCAACAGCAGCAGGCGTCGGGCTCGAACCCACGACCTCATGTGCACCAGGCGAGGTAGTCAACATCTCCTAGCCACCGTGATGATGATGAGAGAGAGAGACACGCAAACTCCAAATCAACAGCAGCAGGCGTCGGGCTCGAATCCACGACCTCCTGTGCACCAGGCGAGGTAGATAACATCTCCTAGCCACCGTGATGATGATGAGTGAGAGAGACACCACAAACTCCCAAATCAACAGCAGCAGGCGTCAGGGTCGAACCCACGACCTCCTGTACACCAGGCGAGGTAGTTAACATCTCCTAGCCACCGTGATGATGATGAGAGAGAGACACCGCAAACTCCCAAATCAACAGCAGCAGGCGTCGGGCTCGAACCCACGACCTCCTGTACACCAGGCGAGGTAGTTAACGTCTCCTAGCCACCGTGATGATGATGAGAGAGAGAAAGAGACAGCGCAAACTCCCAAATCAACAGCAGCAGGCGTCAGGGTCGAACCCACGACCTCCTGTACACCAGGCGAGGTAGTTAACGTCTCCTAGCCACCGTGATGATGATGAGAGAGAGACACCGCAAACTCCCAAATCAACAGCAGCAGGCGTCAGGGTCGAACCCACGACCTCCTGTGCACCAGGCGAGGTAGTTAACATCTCCTAGCCACCGTGATGATGATGAGAGAGAAACGCCGCAAACTCCCAAATCAACAGCAGCAGGCGTCGGGCTCGAACCCACGACCTCCTGTGCACCAGGCGAGGTAGTTAACATCTCCTAGCCACCGTGATGATGATGAGAGAGAGACACCGCAAACTCCCAAATCAACAGCAGCAGGCGTCGGGCTCAAACCCACGACCTCCTGTGCACCAGGCGAGGTAGTTAACATCTCCTAGCCACCGCGGCGCCGTCACTCGCCACCGATGGGAGAGCTGTGGCTCGGAAACGACGAGTGATACATCGACGACACGAAGTTGCGTGTCTGCACGAGATGTATGCACGGTGATTCATACGACTGCCAGGGGTGTTACGCAATATGTCATTGACGTCACTTTCGCGTGAACGTTTGAGCAGCGTGCAATGTATTATTCATATGTGTGACGCATTAAAACAATTGCAGTTCAGAAAACGAATAATGCGCTAGTCCCGTGTGCCTGTGTGTGAGTGTTATGTAGCCGTGCGTGCGTGTGTGGCGCGAATGTGATGATTACACTTCACGTAATTGCCTCAAAGTGCACCTAGCCTGGCACAAGCGCCCTAGTGACGTCATCGCCACTGATGTGATTATTACGATTGCTGAGCACAGGGTTAATGGCCCAATACGTTAAGCGGCCAGCAACAAGCAGCAGCAATATTGAAACTGTGCATTTCCAAGAGAAAAGGGTCAACGCGTTTCTTGCATTTGGGAAACGTTCTAAAGAGCAGTGGGAGGCAAGATGCAGAAAGAGACGTGTGGTGAGTGAGTGGGTGGGTGGTGATTTGCAGTTTGGTGAGTGAGTGGATGAGTGTGTTGTTGTTTAACACAGGGTGGTGAGTGAGTGGGTGAGTGTGTGGTGACCTGCAGTGTGGTGAGTGGGTGAGTGTGTTGTTGTGACCTTCAGTGTGGTGAGTGAGTGGGTGAGAGAGTGTGGTGAGTGAGTGGTTGTTTAACACAAACACAGTGTGGTGGTTTAACACAGTGTGGTGAGTGAGTGGGTGAGTGGGTGAGTGAGTGAGTGAGTGGGTGAGTGGGTGGGTGAGTGAGTGAGTGGTTGTTTAACACAGTGTGGTGAGTGAGTGGGTGAGTGAGTGGATGAGTGAGTGAGTGGGTGAGTGAGTGATTGTTTAACACAGTGTGGTGAGTGAGTGGTTGTTTATCACAAACACAGTGTGGTGGTTTAACACAGTGTGATGAGTGAGTGGGTGAGTGGGTGAGTGAGTGAGTGAGTGGGTGAGTGGGTGAGTGAGTGGATGAGTGAGTGGGTGAGTGAGTGAGTGGGTGAGTGGGTGAGTGAGTGGGTGAGTGAGTGATTGTTTAACACAGTGTGATGAGTGAGTGGGTGAGTGAGTGGGTGAGTGAGTGGGTGAGTGAGTAAGTGGGTGAGTGGGTGAGTGAGTGGGTGAGTGAGTGATTGTTTAACACAATGTGGTGAGTGAGTGGTTGTTTAACACAGTGTGTGGATGAGACGAGACAGTCCATGTCTGCTAGATTGAGTCCTCAACATGGGTGGAGGAATCAACGAGTAAACTTCACTGGGACGCTATTTACCATGGCAGTAGCGATAGACGAGTGACTAGGAGACGATTGTGTTTGTCATTTATCCGGGAACGCCGGTTCCTTCACACCTAAAAAAGAAACACTCGTCATCACCGTCGGCCGTGATCTCTCTACTGCTGAATGACGTTCTCCCCCACACCAAATCGATCACGTGAATTGTTTGACCCACACTTCACCAATCGATCACGTGTGGGTTGGTGGGACCGATCTTGATTTGAAGCTTTCGTGACTGCAGGAATCCATACTCTTTGGTTCTTTCGGTAAAGTCACGTAGGTAGAAAATAAAATAAATCACGACGTTTCGGGCGCAACACAAGCGTCCGTCATCACTCGCCGCTCGTGTTAGCAATGGCTGGTATTCGAATTTGTGAAACCCGTTCATATTGCAGTGCGCTTACAACTGCGCAAACAGCTCCACTCGTACTATATATCCAGCAGTAGTTTGATCACGGCTGCTGCTTCTGCTGCTGCTGATGATGATCGAATGTTGAATTTAATATATTATTATCTCCAGGGTATGTTACTTCCTTCCCCGTCAAATGTTCTGATGCGGACGTAAAGATCCGGTGACATCGTTTCTTTAAAAAAGTCCACAAATGATCGTAATTACCCCATGAACTAGAACAATGAAATAATCGTAACGTAAATTATCGAGGCACGCGTGACTATTGCGAACGTTCCCAGCG